ACTGGGTTGTGTACTATGTAATATCATCTCTCCGAGCGTTTGGGTCCCATATGTGGACCCATCTTGCCAGTAGATTAGTTTAGTAGCATGTTAAGTAAAAAATAGTAAATACACGCGCCATTTCTAATGAGACGGTTTTGAGTTGGCACTGGAGCTACACCGCATCCCCACGCTGGGGCGTTGCCCTCATCCATCGAACCACAGATCTGAGCATACATTTATCATGTGGTTATCCCCAAAAGGCGAATGCTTGGCAATTCCCCTTGGCGGCAGACGAGCCCTCAGAAGGCGGCATCTTACGTCAGCTCAGCCCTACTAGTCTTTTTCCAGAATGTTGCTTTCTCTTAATCTCATTCACTTTGCTTCATCTGATAAAATTTGATTTCGTCTCCTTATCCGCTTTAAAAGCAATTTCGAAATCTGTCTGTGCCATGCTTACCAAAATTCTGTTCGCCTTTGCACCCAATCGTTCGTGGCATCTGTGCAGGATATGGCCCATGCTTGCACATCCTCGAGACGAAGAGGGGAACTGCGGACGATATGATCCGGTGAGCTACTACAGCCACAGATGCACACACACTACAATCAGCTTACAAATTATCCATTGCTACAATCAAAAGATTGCGTGGTCTAAATAAAAAACATCGGAAGAAAGAGTCAAAGACAAAATGGCATGGGACAATGGGTGAATGGTGTCACTCGAGCAGCCGACAGAAGGCCGCTCGGTGTTGGGGGATAATAAGGTTACATCTGTTTCAGTTAGTACTTATCTTGCATCTGAGAAATGCAGTCTTTGAGTCATCGTAATAACAAGCTTTGAAACATATTTTTTGCAGCGATACGGAACATTATACTATCAGCGTTTCGTTGTTGTTGTAGCAAATAGCTGTCATGAATTGGAATTGACAGGCTTGATCTTTACGTTTACGGCCTCATTTTTGCGGTGAAGGTATTGCACATGAAAATGAGTAAATAGAAAAACGGCCATTTTCGCGGCCATATTTACGCATATTTTATGGCTCGCCGACATGCTCAGACTACATGATGATGTCCCAAGCAAACACCAATGCTCCGCTCACTCCAGCACCGGCAACACAGCGCGGACCTCGCCCTTAGCAAGGGTGACGACGTTGGCGAGCAAAAGATCGTTTTAGGCACAATTCAGCGCGTCCAGATCCCTCTCCCAGGAATCCCCGAGTCTTTGTGCATTGTACTTAAGTACACACTGTTCATTTTTACGCATTTTTGACAGGTATTTGCGCGTAACAACGCAAAAACCATTATCACGTGTAAATAACCGTCAATGGAAAGGTGATTACGCCATAAAGACCAAGCCTGGGAATTGATACGAAATGCGTGGATGATGCAAAGCGTCTACTTTGTGCAACTTAAATGTGTTCACAAGGCACGACACTGCCATCCTGTTTTTGATGTCGAGGCCAACTGGGTTCTGATGATCATTCTACAGTCATTTGCTTAGAATCCTAAGTAAACGACTGTGTATGGGCAGGCCCATTTGCTTGGAACCATAAGGAATTGGAAGAAACAGCTCACATTTCTTGATTATTGACTCAACTTGTGCAAGCATATACACATATTTGTCACAATCTAACAGATAGCAAGAAACTTGCACAGCAGCACAGATTCATGGTATATGGCGTGGTGTGCTGTCGCAGAAGATGATGCGTTGGCGATGCTTCATTGCAAGTAAAATTCAGCGGTTACTTTGCTTGGGTCATTGCAAACACGTCTCTGAGAGTACGCTGCTGGCATGTGAATTTTATTTCCTTCGGCAGTCCACAAATCCCACTGAGAAGTCAACTGCATCAAAAGTATTACTGAGTACTGAATTGCATTGGACAAATTGGTGAGAGCAATGCAGCAAACAATTGCGATTTACCGCGCATGTGACTGCTTGACTTTTTGGCGCTGTCCAGCGATTCATGAAATGTTGCTGCCGCAGCAGTAGTTTGCTCTGAAACGATGCTAAAAGACGCTGATGAACCTGATGCGACATTTACCGTTGCAGCGACTTCGCCGCTGGTACAAAGTGGCCACTTCCGAGCCAAAGAAGGTCGTCATCATCGTGCGATCTGGAAGTGAGTTATGTGCCCGAAAGTATTGCAGTCCGCAAGAAATTTCTGAAAATTTCCTGTGCGCATTTGAGGATATCTCTAAATATCTCGTTTGGATCATTATAATTGGCATTTCCAACATCTTCCCTGCCCAACTGCGCGGCATAGGCTGCACTCACAGTATTTATAATAATTTCCAATGTCTGATGTAAGCATATTTGCAGCTAGAATTTTTTGGCACTGAATAAGCTCATGTATGGTGCCCTGGCCTAAACTTTGGAAATACGTTATGCGCGTGATACATAACCACCTTGACAAGCAAATCCGGACATTTATTTCCGGGTTGAGGAAGAACTTGCTTTTGTTGTTATGTACGTGTAAGTATAATCAGCCAATTCAATGGGAGCATATTCATTCAACTAATTTTCTGTTTCTTCGTGATATTTTCTGGATGTGATGTGCTTTCGTGGAATGATGCAGTTTTGCTATACATGCGTCGAATAAAGCACAGCACATGCCATTAAACGCACGTCGAAAGTACATAAATGTACTGCATAAATCTTGCATCATCCATGTCAGTGGAACTCTTGTTGTAGTTTTACTGCCACTTATAATCGTTCCTATGCCTGATATTTCTGCCGCCTCCGTGAGCCTCTGTATGACCCTGAGAGTACTTACATCTGTTGGCGTTGACGTTAATCGGTCGCACAGAAACCCGCTTCGCCACCAAACACTACTGGGCTCCTGCTGAGAACCGCTTATTGAGATCGATTTTTTTTTGATTTTACTCACTATGGAGCTTACATATTCTTTGTGGAATTTAGAAGTTATTTCTTGATCCAGGTTCCATGGGGAAGCGGCTGCACCATGGAGGAAGCGACAACTCCAAAACACGTTGGGAGGTCGCAAAAGAGACGGCCAAGAGCATCCTACGAACTCTTGATGATAGCAGCGACTACGTCAACGTGATTTCCTTCAATGCACAGGCTACCACTTTATTGGGCGAAGGTCTGCTTGCTGCCAATGAGAGCAACATAGAAGCACTGGAGGCCGCGCTGGATTATGTTACCTTGTCAGATGGCTCGGACAATGCGGCAGCGTTTAATGCCGCCTTCGACATGATTCAAAATGGGCAACGGATGTTAGCACAGCAGCTGCACAGCTGCCAGAATGTGAGTAAATTGCGTGCGCAGTATTTGCCCAAGATGGTGCGTCACACAACACTGGTAGAAAACGTCATGTTTGCGATGCCAGATCCGATGACATTTTGACACAAACTGGTGCCGTCACAGTGATTGCGAAGGCGTACAAGGGGCTGCGATGGCATCAATTCGTGTCAATTGGTGCCGCAGTTGGCGTCACAAACAGACTGTTTTCTGCTGCTGCAAGTGCTGTGCAAAGTGCCGTGTGCTGTTCCGTATTATGTGGTAGTACGCTGTGATTATTACAGCCAACGTGGTTCTAGTTGGTCTGGTTGCTGGCAGAATGTGGGTGGTGCATTTTGAGGAATCCCAACGTCTGTAGTAGAAGTTTGTTAATTTATTGCACCACGATGGTTGAAAGAGATTCTGGTGTGAGATAAACTCTATGCCATCATGTAGGCTTTGGAAATCATGTTCGCATTTTAAGCCATGAAAATGCAGAGCGTACAAGTAAATTGAAGCAAACATGAATTTGTTGCTGTCAACTTTGCTTTAAAAATACAGAACCTCCTGTAGAAAGAAAAACTGTGTCTTGTCAACCAACAACCAAAAGACAAGGCCTCTGCACGGCCACGTCCCCAAGTGGAGGGCTAGAGCCTCATTGTTGCCTCCACATGTCAGTTAGGTTAGGGCAGTTCTGAGCTTTCAGTTTGCTGCATTGTGTGTCCACACCCTCCACGTCGCCTCCATTTCTGAGTGTCTGGTTGTTGCATTTCCACCGCACACTGCCAATAGGCGTGGTAATTGCAGGCACGTGGGCGCAATCTGCAACCTGGTTCTGTCTTCTGCCGTTACTCGCTGCGCAACCTCCCATACTCTGCATGAAATATTTCCACACTACCTCTGTTTCGTAAGTCGTGTCCGATCATCAATTTGCGCAAATAGAGATCAAAACGCGTGAGTCAGAAAATTTTCACTGAAACAACATTGGGTGGGGTACACTTTGTTTGCCTAGCCCTTGAGAAAAAGTGGGCTGATCTGAACCATGACTAAGAAAGATTTATGTTCTGGTGACTTGGTGTGCATTGAATGTTCGGCTGGATCCCAAACAGAACTTGCAAGGAAAATAATTGGAGTTCGCTGGGGCGTTAACGGCAACCTTGTGCAAGTGGTTGTCAAAGGCCAGGAGACACGCTGATTACTGCGAGAGCATCTATCTTGCAGATTTGCCGAGGTATTGGAGATGAAGAATACTTACAGCAACTAAGGAGACGCAGTAGACTGAGGCAAACATGGCCAATTGTCCTAAACAAGAATTGTCGCAGCACGGTTCAGCATACTGGCAGAGGCGATCCCCAGAGTATGGCAACAGCGATGTCAAATGCCACAAGGGTGTAGTAATGCCTACCTGTTGTCTACAACAAGGATCTCAATAAATTTTGGTGAATTGGGTTGGGACATACTGGAATATGGCCAATACATCAATGCGGGGAATTGAAAGCCTGCATTTATTTGAACAGGGGCATTTTTGAAAGAGTTTTGATGTGAAACCGCATGGTAATGGCTAACATATTAAAGATCCACATCAAACAGAAACCGACCAAAGAATCTGAATCTGGTGATGGATCACCAATTGGGTTGATCTTGCAAGCTGCAAATTTGCCTTAACTTTAAAGTTAAGGCACGAATTAGAAATCGGACACTACGTACTAAATGCTAGTGGTGCACGACAGACTTGCCAAGTCTTTTTCATCTCCATAAGTGATTCTGTTCGCCTTGCCAGATCATCATTCACATAGGCGATGGCGAGGACTGCACAAAAAATGGTGACCTGCCGTGCTCGCTTCGAGAATCAAATGGATCAGATGATCGAAATGTGGGAGGATCAAGGGGTCCAGTGGATGAGAATCCGCGATATGGCATTCAAAAGAACCTGGAAGCTGTGGAGGCCAGGCAGCGCATTCTGGAGCAATGGTCCAGTCGAGCCACAATGTTCAGTCTCACGATTGAGGGCACAAAAAACTGCCTGGCACGGCAGCTGGCATGCAACAACGGGGGCGCATGGTTTAGCCTGGACGGTGGGCTCACTGGCCATGGAAGAAAATAACTAAGAACCTGTCGAAGTTGCCATTTCACATCCGTATGTGGTGTTAGTGGGACATGGTCGCCCAAATGGCGATCATACGACATGCCGCGTCCTTCAATTCCACTTGCCACTGCTGTCTGCTACTTGCCTCTCGTCGCTGCTATCTATTGAGGAAGTTCTCTGTTTTGCCTTGTGGAGGCTGGGTCATACGCTTGAGTAACACATCGCCTTTTCTCATGCGGCTTTGTTTCTCCCTGTTCCTTCATGCATTTGGCTCTGCGCTTGCATGTCAACCCCCATGTTTCTTCTGCAGCACGAACACCTTGGCGGTCCCCCAAGCAATGTGCGGAACCGTATCGCAATCTGAGCTCGATACTATTTTCGCCAACCTTTCAAATGCCTCCTCTTAAGTATGGAACGTGTGTCTCTCTCCTGGCAAAGGTCGCGGAGAGCCCTTGAACAATATGGGGCCCTACTTTCAGTACTTGGCGTTCGCCATGGAACCCAGGCCAGACAGGCATCACGCAGTATTTACGCCTGTGACACCTCACTGGAGCAGCTGGGGCAAGATGACCAGCGTGGCGTATCCCGTCTTTGTGAATCCCAGGTGCTGACTTTTCTGATGCATTGTGTCCCAACGGCCGCCTTGTTTGCATCGTGTGCTTTTGTAGTTGTGTTTGCTTTGTTCGTTTCATGTCTTGGTAAATGATTTGGGGCTTGCACATCTGGCGTACCCTGCTGTACACTTATGTGGTAATGCATGCATACCATGCATCATATTTTGATGCGTCTATTTTGTACACAAGAATACCATTACATAACAAGCTCGGACCACCGCACCCGCGGCACATGCGGCATTCTCTGGTCAACCTGTCATCGCGGCTTCGGATGGTCGCGCGGGCTAGTCAGATGGTTCTCTCAAGGCCGTGAGAGGCAGTTGAATACAAACGAGTTTTGAAAATGAGATAAATATTTAATAGCAATGAAATCGAGTCATGTGGACTTGGTTTTTAATAGCAAGTTCACGACAGCAGTCAGCGGGAAAAAGAGCATGCGAATGGGTCCACAAATTCGTACACCATTTACTGCCTTATTTTTGGGATGATTGTTCCACCAATTTGTGCATGAATCGGTGGAGCAAATGTTGCGCCAATTGGTGCTCTGATTGCAGCGTGACAATGAAATGCTGTGCTTGTTTCCTGTTGCCATTATGGCATCCACATGCGAATGAACTGTGCACACCGGTCTGTCGAACGAGCGACCAGGATAGCGTAGGCAAGGAAGTATTGGCGCTGGGAGGCCCACGGGCGGAGCACGGTGCTGGCTGCCAGCGCCTTGGTTGCCCTGCAATAGACCAGAGATTGACCCTCGCCTGGCCGGCGTCATGGCAGGCGATCGCCGCTGCCAGGCGACCCCAAGAGGAAGGCGATCCCCAGCGCCGACTTTCGCCGGCGCTTGGAGGGTTCGCTGCCCAAAGCGAACGTCAAACTGTGCCGAAATGGCCAGCCTTGGCTGGACATTTGGTGCCTCTTTGACGTTGGCTGGTGCGGCCAAAATTGGCGAATTGAGGTACAACCTGCTTCCAGGGGGTGGGGGTGGGGGTGGGGGGCCGCGATTAGGCCCCCACTCTCAACATGTTGCAGTAACGCGTTTGGGTTTTATGCCAGGGCGCTGCGTGCTGCACGCTTTCTTTTTCTTGGTAGAATCGCCGCTCGTGGCCACCAGTTGTTGCCAGGCACGAGTGCCATAGTTGGCGCCCGTGGATGGCCGCAATCGGTGACCGCGAGCAGCAAAAGTGGCAGGAGTGGGAGGCCACAATCGACCTCCCACTCCCGTCTATTTGTGGCCATCCGTTTGGCACTTTCTCCTGGGCCCTAGCCGCCGCACGGTATCCAACTGACCGCTGGAATCTGGCCTTCGCGGGCATAGACTGTTGCGACCTGCTGGTTCTTCTCCAGGCGTGCGCGTGTTGCCATACTAGGTGGCAGCAAGGACCGAAATCGGTGGGAGCAGCAGGCGTTGATTTGCCTCCCACTCCCGCCATTTTATGACGATGCGTTCGCCATTCTCGCCCACACTTTGGGCGCCGGGCTTTGTCCAATCGACCCGTGCTATCTGCCCCTCGCAACCGCTGATTGTTGCCACCTGGGGGCGCCAATCTAGGCCCCGATCGGCGGCTTGTGGTGTGGTGTCTGTGGAGCTGGTGTTTGTGGCGCTCACGGCCCAGCACCGGCCCCCACCCGGCACTCTTGAGAGGGCTCGTCCCGGAAGTGCAACACATGGCGTTGTTCCCGCTGCCGGTCAGCTCGCCGCCATGCTGCGGGCTACAGTGGGCGTTATTCCAGTGACCTGCGAAGCCAGCGACCTTGCTCCATGTTGTAGTGTCTAGTGCACACTCTTTCGGTGGTCTACAGAGCAGTCATGGCGCCCCAACTTGAGGCCCGCGTCGCTTTTGCTTTGCCCTTTTTCATGCATGCCCATAAGTGTCCGCTTGCCATTGTGGGCCACGGCACCCATGCCTACTGCAGCTGCCCCACCTCGCATCGTCGTGTGCGTCCCCACCCGCCAAACCCCTCGAACGGCTTGAGGGCCAGACGCGGATGGCGGGAATGGCTGCATTTGTCGCGAAGATGGTGGCACTTCCCATCACTGAGGCAGGAGAGCTGCAAGCTGTGCCACACTGCTCTGCCATGGGCTGCTTTGCTGTGCTGTGTTGTGCTGTGCTGTGCCGCTCTGCTCCGTGGTTGTGAGAGCCACGTTGTTCCTCCAGTTGCAACCCACACGTGAAAAGCTTTCAGCGCATTCAAGCGTGATTTGTTATTTGGGCTTCCACTTTTTGAACTTGCTGCATTCGCGACCTCAGGTCGCCTGGCTCCCGCCCCAACGCCCGCTCTGCTGCGGACGTTGGCAAACCTCTCGGGGCGCCAAAAGCAAGCCATGCCAATCGCCCACATTGAAAGCTTACCCTTCCTCCAGCCGGGCTATGGCCAGCGTCGCGAGGCGCAGTATGGTCCCAAAGGGCCCAACTTGAATACCAGCGTGGAAAGAGGCCTGCTGACATGCTGCAGCGCTGCCGCAGTGGTCAGCGTTGTACTGTGTGGTGGCCTGGGTTGATTGCTGGGCAAATATTTTAAATGCTGCCGGGTTACTGCATCTACATTTGCGCATATGCATGTATCTATAATTTCCATATGTGCATAGTTTGATCGAGCTGCTTTCACTGTGCATTTTGACGTCAGATGCACTGAAGGGACGTCATCTGAGAGGAAGCAGCTGCTGGCCGTCATTGGCAAAGAGGTGACGTTGAGGGTGCTAGAGGAAGAGGACGGACTTGGGGAGAAGCAGGTGGGCAGCACTTTGTCAATTAGCATTGCGCCTTCGCGTGGCACGTTACTAATGTACTTCCGCAGCTGCTCGCCAATTTGGCTCAATTTCCGCCATATTCATACATGAATACAAAAAAGGGCTAAATAACACGTGTTCGCCAGTCTACATAACTTACAGGTTTGGGGTTTTTCCGTGTTTTGAGCATGCAAAACACGTATGAAAAGCCACACATATCTGCAAAAAAGTGCGTCTGGTCCTTTTTGCCTAGTAATGGATGTGCTCGCCAAAATGATGGATGCCGAATCGAGCCCACCCTTTGAGAGGGGGCTCTATGGGCTTGCGCCTGAATTTCGGACATTGGCTTAAGTGGAGGTTTGTTTGTTTCTGTCTTCAAAAATTCACGTTTAGTCCAGTTTGTTATTTTGAAAGTATTTTGGATTACTTACTTTGATATGGTTACTTTAGGATCCCGTGATTAGCATTTGTTTGGCACTGGGTCGCCACAGCAGCTGTGCTTTCGTGCATTGCTTCGTCAATGCCAAAGATGGCAGCAAACAGCGCAGTGTTTTGTCGCATTGCAGGTGGAGAGGATGATTAATGACAACATCGCAAAGACGAGGAAGTGCAACGAGGACTACAAGTACGACCACTGCAAGTTGCAGGTTGGTAACTAAGGAGGAAGGAACGCGTTCTTTATGTGTGTGGAAGAGCGACGTACTGCAGCAAACTACTGTGTCGCAATGTTGCCCGTGTGTTGCTAATGCACTGAGGCGATGATGGCGTTTGCACAGGAATTGCGAGGACCCATGTCGGAGTGTCCTGCCCGCTCGTGGAATGCATCAGACGCGACAAAATGTTACGCGTTTAAGGGCGTGCATTATGTTCTGGTAGCGGAGCCGACGAGCTTCGACGAGGCACGGCAGCAGTGCAAGGATATGGGCGGCCGGCTGGCGGAACCGAGCGTTGACCAAGTCAAAGATGAATTGCACTTTTTGGCTTCGATCGTCCCTCCCGACGGCGCATGGATTGGCCTCAGACCGGGCAAGCAATGGAAATTTCTAAGTTCTTCCCAGGATGTGGGTATCACCGATTATCGACACAGCCATGCCTGCGTTATGCTGTGAATGCAACACCTGCTTGTTTCGTTGCGCACTTGATTTGCAGTGGAAGTTTTCTTGATAGTTACTAAGCGGTAGGCACCGACTTGAAATGAGAGTTGCGAGCTTTCAAGCAGTAGATTGCATTGCATTGATTCTTTTCGTTGCCCGTTATGTGCTCCTATGCTTTTTCGTTGCGCAGACAGGAAATTTTGTGTATGATGATGAAATGAAATTATTATACACATTCCGGTGGATCGTTCTGTGATACACGGTTGCTGGCTGACGAAATACCAAAATTGAGCAGCACATAGTACAAGCATAACTTTGGACAATTATCGTTGTGTTGATTTAGTTGTATTTGGGTGGATCCAATAGTCTACCAAAGCAACTCGCTGAACAATCTGTGGCCGGCGATTATCCTTGTTTTTTCAGTGAGCACTTAGGAACTCGTGCTCTTGGTATTGTGCAAAGTAATTCCTGAAGCTTAGTCCTGGCAATTCAAAGACTGCAAATACGAGTTTCGGGCTGAGGCTGAACTTTCAGACTTTAAAGGGGTTCCCCAACT